CTTTATATTTTTGAAAAGGATGAGCTTGTATTGAAGAAGGTTTTCCTTTCTTTAGAAGTTTTTGTCAAGCTTGTCCAATACGTTTTGAAATAGAAATAAACTTTGAAAAACAAGTAAAACAAATAAATGTAAAAGTAGAGGAATGAAATGTTCAAAGTGTTTTTTGTTATTTATTTCTTTATTTATTTATTTATTTATTTTTTTTTTTTTCAAATAAAAATGTTTGGTGTTTGATCAAAGTTTGTTATTTATGTAAATGTATATTGTTGTTATATTTTTGAGCAAAATGATAATTTCTTTGATATTTTATTCCCATCGAAACTTATTTAATGGACTTGTATTTGGAATATTTACAATATTGCAAATATATAGTATAAATTGGGGAAACCACGTAATGCTTAATTCAATTGACTACATTTTTCTGAACGTGTAAGACCATCTAGATTTTCTAGAAATTCAACATAATTCTATAATTTTACATGCTTAGAATTCTGCCTTTTCCACCCTCCTCCTACACAATTAGCTTAGTCCATATCACATTTACAATTTACTGCCTAAACAAATAAATAATAACCTAAAACGTTAATGAAGTTATGTTTTGGAATGTGTAACTGATGGGATAAGACTACATTTTCGTACGGAACTGCAGCTGTCTCCCGTAGCTACACAATCTCCCAATGTGGGTAACAATAATATTTGCATGCCCCATAATTTAAATACAAACATGGAGATGCACAGAATATGGAAACTCATAATTAGTTGATATTCATGTTAATGCAGAAAATACAGGAGGTTACAAAATACAATGAGTGTTCATCTATCTTCATATGTGTATCTGTATTTGCATATTGGTGGTTGCACCTCATCGGACCAAATAATCAGGGGAGGCGGGAAGTACAACGGAAATTAGTTGAATCCCAGCAACAGGGATGGTGGATTTAAGGTGGCAAGCACAATGGCGCATTGGATGTTCATTAATTGAGTAGCATATAGTAGATATATTTTATGTATAGGTGTGTGTGCCTGCATATTATTGTAATCTGTGCAAATGCAGTTATTCCTAATGCTGGTCGCACGCACAACACTGCGTATGCGTAATCATAATCTTGTTTATTGTATCAACAATAATACGCATTTCACAATGTGCCGAACCGTACACTAAACACTATTTTCTAATCCGTACAATGCTGTTGCACATAAATTAACGAGATTTAACCAGTATGTGTGTGGGTTGTGATTGTTGCTGGTCTCGGATTGGACGAAGGCTTAGCTCGGTCAGTAAGCTAAGCACACAAATCCTATTCATAAAATTGTTGACTGTTGTTTATGTTAAAATGTATGTACGTGTGACTGCTTCATAATGCATATATCGTTGGATTTATGACGCAACAGCTTTACTAATGAGTGAATTAAGGGGCTCGGGTATCATCGCTTTTGAAGCTCATGATTAGACACAAAGTGTCCTAATGGGCTGTCAGGAACACAAGCGCAATCCAATATCATAATTCAGCTTTAGAACAATAATGACAATGGAATCCATAACTATTCATGTAATAGATACAAGTTTGTTAATTAGGCAGGCAGATATGTAACAATATATTTGCACCAAATTACTAAAACGAGTGAGTTTGAAATAGCAAATTCCAAATTTTGATTGACAAATACATATATTGTGTCCCACTTTTCATATTTTACAATTTCAAAATAAAACACTTGTGTTTCGATTAACAATATATATTCTTCTCGGTATAGATTCGGAGATTTCCTATCGTTTTTTTTTTAAAGTATTTTTTTCCTAACTAATTGGATATTAATTAAATCGAAGGCTCGACAAGTAGAACAGAAAATATTTGTATTAAAGTTTTTAATTTGTTATTATTATTATCATTAACATATACATTATATATGTATGTAATATTCCTATAGAAACTATCATATACATTTTTCTAAAAGTTTCTTTAATGAGTAAATAAAGTCCTAAATTTAGCTATCATTTCGTTACTTGGAATACATGAGACAGTTTTCGATTTCTATTGTGTACACAACAAGTAAATGGAAATATGCCCTGATATTGATCGGGTAATAAAGACAAATCTTTTTATTTTTAAGTTGGCAGCACTGTCACAGCTGTGTTAAATTTCGTGCCATTATCCTTATCTTACATAAGTGTGTTGTGTTTTGTGAACATCAAAAAGTGCTTTTGTCGAGTTTTTACAATGCTCGAATTTATTAAGCAAAAAAGAGCTGTTAAATTTTTTATAAAAACTCAGTTTCTAAAACTAAAACTTCCGGATAGTTGCAAAAGACTTTTATATTATACATATTTGAATGCCATAAACAGAGGGTGGAGAAATCGTTGAGAGGGAGTCACATCCAAAATGAAAAAGAACATCAATTGATGAGTATATATTTAGGAAAATCGAAGAATTTGTGCATCAAATTAACATCGTCGATTGATAACCAGATTGATGCTGTTGGCATTTTGAATGAATCCATCAACACAATTGCAAAATAAATCTCGTTTGGCTTCAAAATTGTTGCACCATTTCGCCAAAAACATGACGCATATCGTGCGACAGCCAGCACAGTATAATATTATTTCAAGTAGTACAGTACACCTAATTCTGCTTTTACACGGTAGATTGGTTCCTAAAAAAGTCGTGTAAAAAAACCGCGTAAAAAAAGACATTGATCATATGCAAAATGAATCGTGGAATAAAGTCGTGTAACCATACATAGTATTTTTAATTTTCAAACCGTGTTAAATCAATTCCGTGTAAAAACAGAATTACGTCTACAGTGTACAGCCTTTATTTTAGCATTTTTTACCCTTTCCAGCTGAGTGTTAGTCGGTAACGGAATTGCTTGCTAATTGTTGAAATATGTATTTCTAAATAGGGAATGTTGTAATGCCCACCTGCCTGGCTGCCTGGCTGCCTGACTGGCTGTCAAGTCATCCTTTTAGGCCCGAGCATATTTACATAAAACTTACATATTTTACATACTTAATTGTTTTCACATTACAACAAGCTTCGCAAAGCTTTACATTCTGCCTCTTCTACTCATTAACACGCACAGCCACACACGCCTCCACCACTTCCCCCTCTCGCATAGACGAGCTTAAGGCCTCACACGTGCGCGTCGCCTACACACGCCGGGGGTAGAGAGTGAAACCCCCGGCCCAAAAGTCAAAGCGATTAATGTCAACTTAGTTAATAGCATTCCTGGCAAACTGTTCCTGTTTCTGGCTCTGGCTCTGCTGTTCGGCTGTTCTGGCTCTCGACATACGACACGATTCCGCAACTTAAAGCGCACAGAGCGGCCACAACTGCTTACAAGACAGAAGCAGTAATTTCCTGTCTTCCACTCGTGAGCCTCGGCTCCACCCCTCAAGTTCAGAGCTCGGCAGCTTCTCAGCTCGCCAGCTCGCCAGCCCGCCTGACTGCCCAACTCAAATGCAGGCTCAACATGTCATGTCTCTCAGCTGCCGCTGCGGTTGTTCGCGTGATGAATTACACACTCGCCGAAGGACATGATGATGAAGTGCCTGTCATTCGAAAGCTAAAAGAATGTCTATCTGTCCCGGTCCTTTCGCATAGTTGCTGCTGCTATTACTCGCAGCTTGTAAGCTATTTGCATAGAATCTTGAACATAATTTATCGACACTTGCACAACTTTAATTACTCGACATGGACATTTTTGTCTACTCTCTCGCATCAATGGCCCTTCGGGCATTTCCCTGTGAATTCTTGCATATGGAAATTCATAGCTACACAGCCTTTTGTGTGTGCACATATTACAAAGCTTGTATATCCTTCGGTCATGTTCATTCGCATTTTATAGACACATCATCATCCTTTTTTATACATACTTTATACTATGTATACATATTTATCCATATTTATACCAATCGATGTGCCCACTAATGGCTTTTAATTGAGCGCTGGGAAAATTTTTAAGTGTTTGCGGCTGCTGCCTGGAAAAATGTTTGTTGTTGGGGGGTAACTCGATATTAAGTGGGAAGCGACGCGCTGAATCATGGCTATGCTGCTGATGTTGATTTTATAAGCTTGTTTGCCGAACAAGACGACGCAAGATTGTTCTATGAAAATAATGAAAGGTCTGCGTGGCTTTAGAGGAGAGAAAAAAACCTTCCCCCTCCCAACTTATGTACTCGAAGAGCCATTCATTTCTCAAAAAGTTCTTTGTTTGTGAAACGTTTTTAAAAAATATCGATTTCCCCAATAAATACATATTTATGTTTAAAATAGATGGGTAGCCTCAGAAGTACCCGATCCCAGAGGGAATACACAACAGAGAGATCTCTACATACGCCCCTTTTAGTTATATTTGCCTTTTCCGTTTTAAATTTGTCCCATATTACGCCTCATTCGCAAACTGAGTCCAAAATCATTCCACAGACTTCATTTAAAGCATCTTTTGAATGAAAGTACAGCCAACAATAACTGATTTTCTTCTCTACGCTCGCGTAATCCTTCAGTTGCATTTTGTGAACTTTCTTCTAAACACCGAAAACATCATGTGAACAAGCGTTTCGCGTCTTTAACTCTCTGAAGTCAAAACCAAATCATATACTCACTGATGTCTCAAATTAGATAAAGCTATAAAGTAATGCTCGATATTACTATTCTTCATATTAGAATTAAATTATAAAACGTTTATTAACGACATATCATCAAATAACCAGCTTTTAACATCCTTTTAACTTATTCTATATCTATTATAGAAGACTATCATGTAATTCTTCATATTAGAATTAAATTATTAAACGTTTGTTAACGACATATCATCAAATAACCAGCTTTTAACATCCTTTTAACTTATTCTATATCTATTATAGAAGACGATCATGTATATTCTATATTTTTGTGTCAGCAATCATAGTACGTTTAGCCAATAGTTTCAATGTAAATTCGAAAATTATTCAAACAATTGGTATTATTTTAGAAATCGGAGTATCATAGTATTTAGTCGTGGCATGATTTAAAACCTTTTTATATATCTAAATTCAAAGAAAACTTTTCTTAGAGAAAGAAAATATTTGCAAATGCCAAGTCTGGCCAGAGATATTCTCACATACTACAAGGTGTACGTACATTTTGACAATATTTATTATATTTTTAATGAATGATTTGGGGCGCGAATTCTTTAGGATTGTCATCGATAGTTGTATCATTGATATGACATACTTGTTTTATGGCCTCTGTGTGATCATCTCGCTGATTGGATATATTATTGGAGGCTGTATGCGCAGCGTAAAGCATGTGTTGTGTGCGTAAGTGGCCGATATCTGACGAAGTGTTGAGGTTTAAATTTCTATTTGACGTAGCACTGATCGCCGTTTGGTCCCCAGTTCATCGACCCGTGATGACTATGTGCCATGGAGCTGGAAGGGTCCCAGTCATGAGCATTTGCGTCGCATCACCCAGTATGTGCATCATCCACCACCCACAGTAAGGGGCGAAGTACCCGAAGACTTGTTGATCCGTCTACGGGTACTGGCCGATGTGCAACAGTTAATCCATTCGCGCCAAGAAGCAAGACTTGTGCATTTATAGAAAAAGTGCAGCTAAATTAAAAAGTGTACTCAAATTAAATGCTTTTTCATAGGTATAAATGTAGTATTGCATTCCTTAGATTCCCTCCATTTTATAGAATAGAAATATCTATCATTGTTGTTGGAAAAAAAACTATAAACTCGTATTAAAATAAATATAGACTTTACAAAATAGTGGGATGAAATGGACCAGTTAAATCTAACGATGTTTTTAATGAAAGTTTTAAAGTCCATCGTGGACAATCATTAAATTAGTTAAATAAACTTGACCATTTTTATACCCTGTACCCGTAGGGTAAAAAGGGTATATTAGGTTTGTGCAAAGTATGTAACATACAGAAGGAAGCATCTCCGACCCCATAAAGTATATATATTCTTGATCAGCATGACGAGAGAAATCGATCTAGACATGTCCGTCCGTCTGTCCGTCCGTCTGTCCGTCCGTCTGTCCGTCCGTCTGGATGAACGCAAGGATCTCGGAAACTATTAAAGCTAGAATAACCAAAGTTGGCATCCAGATTCTCCTAGGTCCGAGTAAGGACGAGTTTATTTTTTTTTTTTTAATTTCCCCCCCCCCCCCCCCCCCCCCCTTCCCCCGCTACAGAATTTCGTCAATAGCGTCCACATTTCAAATGCTACCTAAACCAAACTTTGCACACATAATTTCTATACAATTATCTACTGTTGTTTATCAAATTCGGTCAATTCTAAGAAAAGTTATTAGCCAAACAAATTCTCACCAGTACAACCCCCCCAAACTGCAGCAACAAGTTCGCTCTTCTTCTTCCTCTTTATGCTGCTGCTATGGGCGCATATAACTCAGTGACGGAAGTTTACCTGGGTACAGGGTATTACACTGTCGGGCTTGCTCGACTGTAGCGTTCTCTCTTGTTTTATTTCATTTATGATGTAAAGGTTAAAATGATATTGTTTTTTAAAAGCGAGTGCCGGGAAATGCCGCGAGTCTGGCAATTGTTCTCCTTTCATTCACAAATCAATTTTGAAAAGTAAACCATCCAAGCTAAGTATATAGTTAAATATATATGTTTTAAGACTGAATCAGCACTAAACAGCCAAACTGCTTTAATGTCAAGCTAAATTGTCTCGTGCTCATTCAAATAGCTTTATAACAAAATTCATATTTAATTAGCACTTTAATTTGCTCTTTTCCATCTTAATGCATGTCTGAAAACCACAACAGGAAAGCGTCTTCCTCCACTAGCCACAATCCACTTCAACTTCAACTCCACAAAAATTCCTACCCATTGCCACATACAAATAAATTCGTTCGTCGAGCATGATGGGACTCTGCGATATATTTATGTGCCAGTTCCTGTCCCATAAAAAGGCAAAACTCAGCTACTTTTGCTGGCGGCGGCTTCTGGTTGGGTTTTCGGGGCCAAAAACACAAACATAAATCCAAAAATTGTCGTTTGTCGCATAAATATTTTAGTTGGGCTAGAGCAGAATTATGTGTGTGTGTGTATAATTTTTATTATATAACATACATATTAGAGCAGCGCAAATAAATGAGAGCTAGAGCTAGAATGAAGTCAAGACAATGCGACGGAAGTGTGAAGTAAGTAAATAAGTCAGGCGGGCAGGCGGGCGGAAGGACAACAGGACCGACAGGGCTTAGAAGTTGGAGGGCTGCTTGCGGTTATGGTTTAGAGTTGGGGGCATCTTCTGTGTTGTGTACATGTTGTTTGCCCAACCGGCCGCAATTCCCACATGTCTGTCTTTATAAATGCTTTATCTTTTGCCAACACACAGATACACACACACACACGCACACTCATGTCCTTTGTGTGCTTGTGTTCTCTGCATTGTCGTCGTCATCAGTTTGTTGGCTTTTGTAATTATGTGCATATAATAAAGTTGACCTAAATAAAAAGAATTCTCTTTGTGGATTGCGTTCAACACAGCTTGTATATATATGTATATATAAAATAAAGCCAACTATATATGCTTTTTTTTGGGCGCAGTTCATTAAATGATAAGGCATCGATCGACAGGGACACTATAAAGTTGGAACAAAATATTTACAGCACTATTGGCGCTATTAAACAACAGCAAGTACAAACAACAAAAAAGAGCTAACAAATCTTTAACAAGTTGCACCCTAAACCCAAATAAGTCAACAGGCAGTCAGCCACAATAATTTATTTGCTTATCGTAAATGTTGGGGTCGTCGCCATATCTTACTGACCATAGCCGTCCCACACATAATTGCACATGTCAACGGGAAGAAAAATGCTTAGGAAGGGTGGGCGGAATTGTTCTGGTCAATGTTTAATGTGGCGTATGCGCAATGCATTTATATATGAGTATATGTACTATTCAATGGCTTTAACGTGGCAACACATTTTTCCATATGCGGGAGTTCAATTAAGCTAATGCCTTGAAATGTGTTGCATGCTTCTAGGCGTTGGAAGCGATTTGAATGGCTTTTGTTTTTATTTGCTGTACCTAAAGGGTAAGAGGGAATACACACAAAAGGAGGCGTGGCAGACACCACAAGGTATTTAAATTCTGGATCAGTATGACAATTCGATATCGAAATGTTCGAACTTGATATCCAGATTCTCCTAAATCCTTCTGCTTTTTAATGCGAATATGAAAAGACAAGGAAGTAGATTTTCAACGCTTAGCTGCCGAGGAGGAAAGACTACAACACAGTAACATGCAAGCGACAAATTTTTAGCAAGTGGGTCAGCATTTCTCAAGACATTTCTGGAACGCAGTACTAAACTATTCATTCAAGCGACACATGTATGTGAATTTGCCGCCTGCTTAAGCCCACGACCTCGAGAAAGTAGAGAAGAGAATAACTCATAAATTCTGCAAAAAAAATGGCAAACATCTGCACATCCGTTTGCCTTAAACTTCATGTTGTGTGCTTTGCACAGTTTATCGTTTCTGTTTATGTGCGTTTTTCTTTCCATTTATTTTTTTCGCTTGCCGTTTTTTTGCGCCAAATATGCCAGCCATTATCCATTAAATATCATGAATCAACTGTTGGACACCATAAACAATCTTTGGTGCTCATAAAACGCTGTCATGGCGCTTGTGAAATTTATGCGCGCCACTATGCCACAAAAGTTGTGTTTCGGTTTTTGTTTGCAATTGCCAGCCATTTGGCTTTGCCGTTAATGCCGTACAGGATATACCATTCAATGGAACTTGCTCTCTATGTGTGTCTATTGAGGAAAATAAGTCACGTCAAATGCCACCATGCATAAGCTGGAAGATTAAAATTATTCAGCCTTGGCCAGCTCCTACTGGGGAGCAAATGAAAAGGCAAACGCACTTTGCAAATTTGTTGATCAACAGAAAATTCCTGTTCAGCCATTGCCATTGCCATTGCCTTTCGCTTTGAATTTTGTCTTTTGAGTCAACAGGACAGGAAAGGAAAGAAATGAGAAAGAAAATAGAACACTATTGCCAATAAGAAATTGCAGTGGGCTAAAAACGAAGACAAGATAATTGATTGTTTGATTCAATCGAAAAATCAAATGCTGCTCGCTGCCTTGACTCAATGACTGACTGACTGACTGACTGGCTGGCTGACTGTAAGACTCTGTTTGGTTGCCTGATTGCGCAAGGGACAAAGGCAAATTGCGTCAAAGGAAATGCACGCAGCACAAAAATTGGTAACAAATTCTGATTAGAAGCAGGACACACCACCAACAAACAGTCAAAAGTAAAAAAGGGGGCGGTGACAATGGGCGTCGGCGTCGGCATCGCCTCGTCTCTGTCACTGCTAAATTGAATTGTATTTGGCCCTCTGTGCTAAGACAAAGCAATCAGTCAGCAACGAGCAGGCTCCTAGTCAAGTCGGGCAGTCAGGCAGCACTTGATGATGAGAGTAACAGGAGCCTGTTCATATAATTGTCAGTTTGATTTTGAGCATTTGACATCGTGATCGATTCGAGTTGTCGGCCCTTCCCTCCATTCGCTCCCCCTCCTCACACAAGAGCAAAGTGATTAATCAGTGTGGCTTGTAATCTTTAATTCTGATTCTGGCCTGCAGCCATGATGAGAAAGTATTTCAAAAATTTTCTGAAATGCTAATACCACGGACTGATGAAAATTGTAAACGTTTTTGCAACTTCTATTGAATCTTATAACTGAGTTAACAGTTAACAATTTAAAAGCACTTGCAAAAATATAAAAAATATAAATTTATTATTGGAACTATTATCTATTTATGACTGAAACACTTGCACAAACGGCTGCCTAACAAGCTATACTAAGATAACTAAATTTTAGCGATAAAACAAATTCAACACTTCGCAAACATTAAAAAAACATTAGATTAATATAAAACGATGAAGCAGAGATAATTCTTCATTATTCCTTATCTTTATTATGGCTATTTATTGCAAAAAGGTAGTGCGTTCGATAACACTGCTTTATTGGGTTAGAAACGTCAGAGGTATTTGTTGATTCGTTGTCATTTAATATTATGACTTTTAATACTAATATCTTACTTCTTAAAAACCGGTTTGGCTATGAACAAAGCCACTGCGCTTGTAGTTGTAGTCTATGATGTACTCCTATTAATTAATCTCGCGCAAAATGATTTGTATATTTTAAAAGCCATTTTTTAGAGCATCGCAAAGCATACATTAAATATTTGCATTTTTCTGTATGTATTGCTGCTAATCGTTGTTGTTAATCGTAATACGTAGCTTTTTTTTATTAATTCTTGAAACCACGACATGGTGCTTTGTTTTGTTGTTGTTCTTGTTTCATTCACTCATATTACAAATTGCACTTTAAAAGCGATGTAATTATATTTGGAGAAAAAAGTTGTGCAAACCTTTGGGAAAAACAGGGCATTCAAATGTAATTATATAATGGTATTTCTGATAATCTTTATCTTTTTTCTCAACCATATCCAGTGAACTTTTCATTGCATTAACAATTTCACCATTCAATTCAGTTTTCAATCACAGCATGGCAAAAAGTAATTCAACAGCATTTTGCATTTTGCCAATTACAACAGCTGATTGGATTGTTTTCATTATTCTGCTTCCCACACCTTCCGATC